ACCTAAATATGGTCGGGTTCAAGTATTTTAGTATTGACCCGTTTGACATGGATAAAAAAATCAGGTGACAATATTTAATTGGATATTTATTACACCTCAAATTTGTATATACATACGCGCTATATTTTTTGCACTGGTTTCAGCTTTTATGTTAAAGTAAAACATAAGAAATAGAATTAGAAGGCCAAAATGAAACAGAATTAAAATAAAGTATCAAAATAAAAAATGGGGCGAAGGTAAATAGGCTTCGTATGTATTTGGCCAATTTTTAAATATAAAAACGGAAGTCACTAGTGACGTGTTTTCTTACAATATTTGCCTTGTCAAAGTACTATACAACGTCACTAGTGACGTGTCATAGTCAAAATCCAAACCTCAAATAGCTTTCACATCTCTAGGACCAACCAACCTACCTCATCATCCATTGGCTCTGTCAACGATCTCTATATATAGATACATACTATGTTTAACATCTCAGTCTCTAAGTATTTGCAAAGTTAGCCGAAATCACAACAATGGCCAAAGAGGGAACAAAAGTGCCAAGAATCAAATTGGGTTCACAGGGGCTAGAAGTGTCAGCTCAAGGACTTGGTTGTATGGGTATGTCCGCTTTTTATGGGCCGCCCAAACCCGAGCCCGATATGATCCAACTCATTCACCATTCCATCAACTCTGGTGTCACCTTTCTTGATACATCAGATGTGTATGGGCCCCACACCAATGAAATCCTACTTGGCAAGGTACTCTTTAAATTCTTTTATTTTTTTAATTTTATGCTGTAGGATGATTGTACCTAATGCTAATGTGTTGTACGTTTTTTTTTTCTTTTTAATTTTGGTAAAGGAGTTGTATGATAGGTACTTCTGGCGTTTTGAGCTGTACTAATGCTGAATATGTTGTACCTTAGCAAGAGATTTGGTCATGGTTCTTCAAACATTGTACTCTCTCCGTTTCCATGTGACGTAGTTTTAATGAAACGTAGTTTTACTAGGGATTTAGTTTAAAATAGAAAAAAAAAATAGAAATTGTTGTCTTAAACATTGCCTACAATTTTTCGACTATAAAAGTATGGCATTAAATATAGTAAAATAAGAAGTTTGAAGTTAAATTATTTCAAAAAATAGAAAGGTATTAGTTTTTCAGAATGAACTAATAAGGAAATAATGTCATATAAACTGTAATGAAGTGAGGATATCTTATGGGGTGTTATGGGGGAGAATGTTATGGCTGCTTGGTAGTATAGTCAAAACTCTTTATAACAGTCTCGTTTATTTCGAATATTTTGGATGTTATAGCGAACTGCTGTTATAGAGAACATATATTATAACATGACATAAAAATTGGTTCCGGAAAAAATTTGACTTTTATAGTGAAGTATTGTTATATAAGGATGTTCTAGGTGTGACCGTAGAAGGTTTCTTGTGAGATGAGTGCTAGTATGCAAAGTTCATCCTTATAACTAATTCTCAATTTTGATGTTTGTGCCATACGCAAGAAATTCATTCTTAATGATGCTTAAAGTCTTACTATTACTTTAGGTACTAAAATCTACCGAGATCAAGAAAACGAAACTAGTAGCAAGAGTTGAAGTAAAATAATAGAGATGATAGTAAATGGAAAACTTAGATATACAGAGAAAGAGAGGGAGTCATTTCGTGGAAACAACCTCTTGCAGAAATGCAGGGTAAGGCTGCATACAATAGAATCTTGTGGTCCGACCCTTCCCTAGACCCCGCGCATATCGGGAGCTTATTGCACCAGACTGCTCTTTGTCTAGTCCAAGATACAAAGCATTGTTGTTACAAAGTCGGACAAGTAAAATAAAGAGAGCTTTTCTGAGAGTAATGTAGTAGTTGCAGTCTATGTTGCGCAGAATCTTCAAAACAGCTGCCACACCCGTTTCGGATCGTCCAAAAATGCACTACTTTTGGAGAATCCGATATGCACCCATCAACATTTTCGGAGAATCCGAACAACATAGGTTTCAATGAGTAATAGATTTCATGTGCAACTGCATACTTTCAAATCATAACTTTCTTATCTTTTATATGCGACTGAGAACATTTATCCATTTTTGTAAGATTTCTGCAAGAATAGTTACCTAACTTCTGATAATATACATATCTATGCAGGCGTTGAAGGGAGGGGTGAGAGAACGAGTTGAGTTAGCAACAAAATTTGGAGCTATTTTTGCAGATGGAAAGATAAAAGTGTGTGGAGAGCCAGCCTATGTAAGGGCAGCATGCGAGGCTAGCTTAAAGCGACTTGATGTTGACTGCATTGACTTGTACTACCAGCACCGAATTGATACACGCGTGCCTATTGAAGTCACGGTTGGTTCTCTTTCTCCATTTCTAACTCTGGAAATTGCGGGTTACGAACATTTTGCAATCTACTGATTGAGCATTAAATGATTGACTTGTTTGGAGACACTAAATATTTGAATTCAATATCAAAATTTTATGAACACTTACGGCTCCAGTGCTGCATCAACCTACACCATCATTTTTGGAATTGATCTGGCTGTTGACATCCAATTTAACAATTATGTTGAGTGCTGTATTATTGAATGTTTTCACATCTTTGTTCAAAAGGATAATTATCAGCATTTCTTATTCTTGATTGACTAGGTTGGAGAACTTAAGAAGCTGGTTGAAGAGGGTAAAATAAAATATATAGGTCTATCCGAGGCATCAGCATCGACGATTAGAAGAGCACATGCAGTTCATCCAATAACAACAGTACAATTAGAATGGTCTCTATGGTCTAGAGATGTAGAGGAAGAAATAATCCCTACTTGCAGGTATATTCTGCTTTCTGTTAGTTTTTTGTATTTCTGCGCGGTCTATAACTATGTGAGATCTTGATATTTGCCTTCCTGTTAATCTACCAGAGAACTCGGTATTGGGATTGTGGCATACAGTCCACTAGGACGGGGATTTTTGTCATCCGGTCCAGAGCTGCTTGAAGATTTGTCAAGTGAAGATTTCCCAAAGGTTAGATTGTACTGAATATTTGTTTTGGATTTCAAGCATATTGATCTCATGTTTAATTGCACTGCATTTCTGTTGCTACTATATTTACTTGTTTGAGGAAAGAAAGGGTTTTGATCACTAAGCTATTTGATTTGGATGATATTGCTAGGGACTAAAGCTCTGATCAATAGTTGGTATTGTAAACCATGTAGTATAAACTTTACATTTGTTCCTTATATGGAAGAGATGTACATGGACCATTTAAAAGTAACTTGCTTTCTGACAAGCGAGTTTATTTATGTATGTTAATGATGTACATTTCAATCGAAAAAGACATGTTTTTGGATGAGTTGGTGGTCCAGAATACTATCTGTTCAGAAGTTTCTGCCTCTTGCTTTCTAGCATTTTACTTTGGGAATTTCCCACATCTCAGGCAAGAGGCGGACCCAAGATTTTAACGCGATGGGGACACAATATTTGGCTCAACCAGTGCCGCCTAAAGGCTTTTAGCGTTCGGGCCTTCAGGGTGCCAAGTGATTTAAATTAGTCATTTTAAGGTATACACATACATATACAAGATTTCTACCGAAGTTTACAAGGTCCGGTGATCCCTTAACATAACACATAGATCCGCCTCTGCTCAGGCACGCTTAATTCTTGCATACATGCTCGCTGAATGAAAGGAATAGTTGTGTTGATTGACGTGTTCCTGACCTTACATGCTTAGATTTCATATTGGTGTCCAAAGTTTTGCATGCACCATATTGCCATTTTGATGAACTGGTATCCGAAGCTGCTTCATGATGTTCACTGTACTATTTGTTTTTCCTCTACTGATGACCAATATCGAGGGAGAGCTACTGATGTGAGAATCTGGGGCTGCGTGAGACCTTTGATAATTATATTCTATAATCTGTCAAAGCCCTAAAGTATATTATCGTATTGTAGACGTTTCTGTATTTGACTTAAATGAATCTTCAATTTTGCAGCATCTCCCAAGGTTCCAGGCTGATAATCTTGAGCATAACAAAATATTATATGAAAGAATTTGTCAAATGGCGGCAAAGAAGGGATGCACCCCCTCTCAACTGGCCTTGGCGTGGGTACATCACCAAGGGAACGATGTGTGTCCTATCCCGGGCACCACTAAGGTTGAAAACTTGAACCAGAACATTGAAGCTCTCACCATAAAGTTAACATCAGAAGATATGGTGGAACTTGAATCCATTGCTTCAGCTAATGCAGTCCAGGGTGATAGGTACAGTTCTGGCGCGACTACTTACAAAGATTCCGACACTCCACCCCTTTCGGTATGGAAGGCTACATAATGATGCAATCGTGGAATTAGTGTCTCTCAGTTTGTTTGTTGAGTTGAGTTGTTCCTGTATTGCGCATTGTATGTGCTGAAAAGCTGCAATTTTTCTGTTTTAAACAACTGTGCCACTTGTGACCTTATGATTATTCGAATAATAAAATGTTTGACTCTGTTTGCATACTCTTTACTATGAAGTAAAACACTAAATTATTATTGCTTTACCAAATATGTAAGATTCAATCTTTTTGTTAATTGGACAGAATCAAGATTTATGTTTTTAATAAGGGTCGAGTTGGATAAATTTGTGCGTCCTTCGACTGATCCCTTGATTACTGTTACCTTCTCCTAGCACAAGTATTGGGTCAGTTTGTCCATTTTTCAAGAAAAAGACCCCAAACAAGGAATGCAGTTTTTAGATATATTTTATGGATGCATGTTTATTTAGCTTATATGTCAAATGTCTTTTTTTTTTTTTTTTTTTTTTTAATTTCTTGAACTTTGTGTCACCAGTCAAATACAATCAGGATATCGATTGTGAGTTCGCGAATTTTCTAAATTGAACAACTCAGCTATTATTAAATAAGTAAAGACAAAGAGAACAGAGTAATTGACACAAGCACCCAAAAGTTGAATATTATTTTGCACATGTGCTTGTATAATGGCTGGCTAATGTTACTTATTTGCCTCTTTTTAACATAACAAGNTCTCTACATTTAACATGCAAAAAGAGATTTTCTTAAACCCAACAATGGATTCCGAAGGAAGAAAAGTGCCAAGAATGAAGCTCGGCTCACAAGGTTTGGAAGTGTCAGCTCAAGGACTCGGTTGCATGGGCATGTCAGCCTTTTATGGCCCGCCGAAACCTGAAGATGACATGATCAAGCTCATTCATCATGCCATTAACTCCGGTATCACTTTCCTCGATACTTCAGATGTATATGGGCCTCACACCAATGAAATCCTCATCGGCAAGGCATGTTAGTTACCTCTTGAAATCGCAACTGGTTTATTTGTCATAGACCTTTCATTTTAATGTCTTAATGCATGTTTTTTGCTTGGTTGCTTTATTCTCGCTGTTCCTTGAGCCGAAGGTCTATCAGAAACAACGTCTCTATCTTTATAAGGTAGGGGTAAAATCTGCGTACCCACCACCCTCCCCTGACCCCACTTATGGGATTACATTGGATTTGTTGTTGTAATTTGAATACTAAGATAATTGAGACTACAGTTCAGTTTTCCTGTTTTAAACAGTTTATGGATACCCACAAGAGAGTATTGCAAGATTGCTAGGACATCTTCCTTGGCAATAAAATGTTATAAAGGATCTTATACATAGTGTAATTTGGAAAAGAGGGAGTAATTTTGCTATTGAATCCTTGTGTGTTTCCTAATTTGTTCAGTTGAGGGTAACAATCTGCAAGTAATCAAGTTGTTCATAATGGTTCGATCCCTGTATCTTCGTTTGGCATGGCATAAGCAAGAAAGGTTGGTACTAGTGCGCATGTGATATATACTGTGTCTACTTGTGATCAGAGGTGGATCCAGGATTTGAACTTATGAGTTTGAGTTCGCGAATCTTGATTCTACCACTACTCATTTATTTTACGATATTCGAAATCAATTATTTGTACTTATTTAGTGAATTGTTAACACATATACTGGTCGAGCCAAAGCTACTGAGTACGAATAAACCATAAGTTGAACACTACATCCACCAGGGGCGGATTTAGCCGGAGGAAGGGGGTTCACCCGAATCCCTTTTGCCGAAAAATTACACTGTGCGTATAAGGAAAAATCCATCTTGTACGTCTATATATTATATTTTGATCCCCTTGCCATAGTCCAAAACCATAGCTCAGTGGTCAAGGGGATTCAAACCCTTTCTGAGGTCGCTGGTTCAACTTCCACTTATCTGTCTTTGTAATCAGCATGAGCATTTATCTGTCTTTATACTGATTTACTGATTTACAGATTTGTTGATTAACGTTCACATTATGACCATGGCAGGCTATGAAAGAAGGGATGAGAGAAAGAGTTGAGTTGGCAACAAAGTTTGGTATTAGTTCCGCAGATGGAAAAATAGAAATAATTGGAGATCCCTCGTACGTAAGGGCAGCATGCGAAGCCAGCTTAAAGAGACTTGATGTTGACTGCATTGATTTGTACTATCAACATCGGATTGATAAGCGTGTGCCTATTGAAATCACGGTCTGTCCTCTTTTACCATTGAATTTTTGTCACCAATTTTATAACGAGGTTGCAAAGTAGAGCTTGTCATAGCGATTTATTTGTAATAACCTTATAAGTGACCTTGTTGTGTAAATATTTCATACACGATCGTGCATATAACTTAACTCTTAGTGATAGAGGATAAGATGATTGACTTGCTAAGGTATAATGACTTTTGGTAGGCACAAAATATTGGAAATTTCAGAGTTATTTGGGCATTTTGTGAAGAAGATAATCAGAATGTTGCAAAATGATGCTCTCTTTCATTTTTCCAATTAAACTTATCAAGACGAACTAAAAAAGAGCAGCCCGATGCACTAAGCTCCCGCTATTAGCGAGGTCTAGCGAAGGGCCGGACCATAAGGGTCTATTGTATGCACATTTACCCTGCGTTTATGCAAGAGGCTGTTTCCACGGCTCGAACCCGTGATCTCCTGGTTACATGACAATAATTTTACTGGTTACGCCAAGCCTCCCCTTCCTTATCAAGACGAACTGATAGTAATCAAATGATACATCATCCTATTCAGAAGTGTACATCATTTTCTTCTGTATCTTTGTCCATCATGCTTGTCGTTCAAAATTTAGTATTCTTTGAGATTTGCTATTGTTTTTTACAAAGATGGGAGAACTCAAGAAGCTGGTTGAAGAGGGTAAAATAAAATATATAGGTCTATCCGAGGCTTCAGCAACGACGATTAGAAGAGCACATGCAGTTCATCCAATAACAGCAGTACAATTAGAATGGTCTCTGTGGTCGAGAGATGTAGAGGAAGAAATAATCCCTACTTGCAGGTTTAACATTCATCATATCCATTTTCATTTAGTGTCTAAAGAAACGTTAATTATAAGTTCTTAATGTAGCATTGATCATGATTAAACTTAATTTTGTAGGGAACTTGGAATTGGAATCGTAGCATACAGTCCCCTGGGAAAAGGTTTTTTGTCATCTGGTCCGAAGCTGCTCGAGGATTTGTCGAATGAGGACTTTCGGAAGGTTAGCTGCATCCTTTTTTGCTCTTCTCATGTCTTACTTTGAAGCGGAGCCTTGGCGTAACTGGTAAAGTTGCTGCCGTGTGATCAGGAGGTCACGATTTCGAGCCGTGGAAACGGGCTCTTGCAGAAATGTACAGTAAGGCTACGTACAGTAGACCTTTATGGTCCGACGCTTCCCTGGACCCCGCGCATAACAGGAGCTTAGTGCATCGGACTGCTCCTTTTTTCACTTATGCAGAAGATTTATATATTTAGAACGCAAAAATTTGAGCTTTAAATCTGGTGTTAGCTAGAATTGCTAAGTTCAATCTTGACCAATCAAAGCCAATTCTATCTTTGTAGCTAGTTTCTATTTCAAAAGAAACTAACTAGATATTGAATTTGATACATATATTGATTTTACAGCATATACCAAGGTTTCAAGCCGAGAATCTTGAGCATAACAAGATCTTGTACGAGAGAATTTGCAAAATGGCAGAGAAGAAAGGATGTACGCCATCTCAACTAGCCTTGGCTTGGGTACATCACCAAGGAAATGATGTGTGCCCCATCCCAGGTATCAGATACGGATCCAGAATCTAAATTTCATGGGTTCAATCTTTACATTCTTACAATTGAACCCATTATTTTTTTTAATCTTAGTGATTTTTCAAATACATATATGTACTTCGTGTTAAAAATACTAGATTCAGTTGAACCTACTGAATATTGACTATGATACGTCTGCTGCTGCCAGGTACCACAAAGATCGAAAACCTCAACCAAAACATCGGAGCTTTGTCAATTAAGTTAACAACAGAAGACATGGTGGAACTTGAATACATTGCTTCAGCTGATGCAGTCAAAGGTGAAAGAGATGCTTCTGGTGCAAATCACAAAAACTCTGATACTCCACCATTGTCAACTTGGAAGGCTACGAGATAAGATTTTCGCGCACTTTCCACGTTACAATGTATCTGAAACATGTTCTTGTTGGAAATAGTAAATATTATAAAAGTTTAAACAAGTGTCTAGGCTCATTTGTACTGTCGAGTCATCCCAGAATATTCACTAATCATTGTTCATATAACTTGAAGTTTAAGGGTCGATACAACAACAACAACAACAATAACAACGTAATCCCACATGTCGGGTCTGGAGGAAGTTTAAGGGTTGATAATAACCTTATATACATGATAGTGTATGTCCAAACAACGAAGTTTCATGTTCAGTAAATGTTTGTTATATTTTTTAAACTAAGTCCTTCCAATACAGAACTTCATATATAAGAGTGTGTGAGGTCTTTAGACTTGAAATTTCTACCTGTAAACCAAGTGTTGGTGGCATACTGGCATATATGAGAAAACAAATAATATACCACAATCTCCTCTTTTTCATCATCATGTAATCCTTTTATTCTTATTCCCTTATTCTTTTAGAGAAAATTGCAAATCACTAAATGATAGTAATACAAAACTTGAATATATCTTATGCAGAGACGCATCTAAGATTTTGAGTTTATGAGTTTTGGATTCTAAAAAAGACATCAGACTAGTTCCAGATAAATTATTATAGTACATATCAAGTGGAATTTTTAATATAGAGTTTGAGCCAAAGCTATACTGTCGAACATATAGCTATCACTATAGCTCCGCCTCCTGATCCTTTGTACTATCAAATAGGATATGCGATAGCTCGCAAAGGACAGGCCTTGGCTAAAGTGATACCAAACTTCTCCTCCATGTCTAGTTCTTCTGGCTTAATGCCTTCTTCAAGTTTCCAATTGAAGGAATTCAAGAGTGAGCCTACCATTACTGGAACCATTCTCGATGCTGCCAGAGGTAAGCCAGGGCATATTCTTCGCCCAGCACCAAATGGAATCAATTCAAAATCTTTGCCTCGCACGTCCAATTCTGAACTCCAGAACCTCTCAGGTTTAAACACTAGTGGCTCCTCCCACAAAGCTGAGTCTCGACTGATTGCCCACACATTAACTAGTACCTGTGAGTAGGGGTGTCAAATTTAGCTCAAAAAAATTTAACTTATCCAACTCATCCAAATTTGGATGGTTTGACTGGACATATATTAATTGGCGGGTTTATTTAGGCATAGCCCGAGTTAGCCATCTATAGTTTGGTCAATTCGGAACAGTTGACCAACTAGGACAACCTATGTAGCCCAAATTAACCGATAAGGAAACTTATCAACACATTGAAAAAAAGAAGTTTTTCGCGTTTGGTTAGTTAAATGTAGTCATGATAATCAAAAGAAAAGCTTGTGTTGGTTTGGTCAGCTAATGACCCAATTAGCTTATCGATTCAACCCATTTTGACCTGCACATTTGAAATTAAAACCTTACTTGTGAGCCCTTCGGGATGATGTAATCACACAATTCAACATCTTGCTCTACTTTGCGTGGGAGTAAGAAAGGAACTGGTGGGTGCATTCTTAAGGTTTCTTTGACAATACATTGCAAGTAGGGGAGTCGAGAAACATCATCTTCTTTTATTGGTTTTCCTTTTCCAACGACTTCTGCAAGCTCAGCTTGGACTTTCTTCATAATCTCAGGTTGTCTAAGTATTTCTGCCATTGCCCATTCCACTGTACTTGTCGTCGTATTAGTACCGCCAATGAATATGTCCTGAAACATTTTTCATAAATCCCATCAAATATGTCAATGCGAACCTAGTAAGAATTTTTTTTTTTTTTTTTTTGTTAATTAGTTAGTGTATCATCTTAATTATTGAAACACTGGTAAAGTTGTTGTCATGTAATGAGGAGGTCACAGGTTCGAACCATGGAAACAGCCTTTTGCAGAAAGGTAAGGGTAATGTTGTGTATAATAAACTTTTGTGGTTCGGCCCTTCCTCGAACCCTTCGCATAGCTAGAGCTTAATGCAACGGGCTGCCCTTTAGTGTATCATCTGAATTATTGAAACATAGAATTTTGTTCTAGTATGTAAAAAAAGATTGCTATTGGAAACAATCTCTCGACCTTCACTAGGTAAGGGTAAGGCATGCGTACACATAACTACCATCCGCAGACCCACTTTGTGGGAATATACTGGGTTTGTTGTTTTTTCTTTACGTAAAAAAGATTGCAGTTTTTTTATATATCATATTATGTTAAATTCAAAAAGAAGATGTCTTGAACTATGATAGTAAAAATAAAACAACAACAATAAGAACACAGTGAAATCTCACGAGTGGGGTATCGAGAGGGTAGAGTGTACGCATACTTTACCCCTATCCGGAGGAGTAGAGAAGCTGTTTCTGAAATACACTCAGCTCAAGAAGACGGAAATAGACAATAGATCCGTAACAACAACAGAAGTCAGAAAAAATAATATTAGCATCGTAACAGACCCAAAAAAATGGACAAACAATAACAATAACCAATAATAATACCACGAAAATAAAACTAAAGCTGATGATAAAAGAGAAGCACAAACCAGGAGCAAGGAATTGATGTGATTCTGATCGATTTCTTCCGAATTTTCTTCTCTAATTTTGAGAAACACTTCCAAAACATCATTCTTTATACTTCTGCTCCTCTTTTCCTCCAATCGCTCGTTGATCAAATCATCGAAAAGCACAAACAACTTATTGAAATGAATGTCTGTGTTACGCCTAATTCGTTGAGGATCAATGTTTTCAAGTATGGGAAAAAAATCCACTAGGTTAGGCTTCCCAGCCTCGGCCAAGATGTTCCAAATCACGTCCTTCAACTCTACCTGTGATGAATCCAAAAAAAAGGGTCACAAACAATTATGCACTCTTTAGTACACAAAAAGAAGAGGAGCCTTTGGTGTAGCTGGTAAAGTTGTTGCCGTGTGACCAGGAGGTTACGGGTTCAAGCCGTGGAAACAACCACTTATAGAAATGCAAGGTATGGTTGCCTACAATAGACTCCGCGCATAGCAGGAGCTTAGTGCACCAGGCTGCCCTTGTTTAGTACACAAAAAGTCAAATTGAGGAGTGAGGGCGTCACAATAACATTTTTCAGCTCTACCTTTAAATAAAAAGAAGGGAGCCTTTGCGTAACTGGTAAAGTTGTTGTCATGTGACCAGGAGGTCACGAGTTTAAGCCGTGGAAACAACCTCTTGTAGAAATGCAGGGTAAGGCTGCGTACGATAGACCCTGCGCATAGCAGGAGCTTAGTGCACTAGGTTGCCCTTGTTTAGTACACAAAAAGTCAAAATGAGGAGTCGGAGCGTCACAATAACATTTTTCAGCTCTACCTTTATACAAAAAGAAGGGAGCCTTGGCGTAACTGGTAAAGTTGTTGTCATTTGACCAGGAGGTCACAGGTTCAAGCCGTGGAAACTGACTCTTATAGAAATGTAGGGTAATGTTGCGTGTAATAGACCACTGCCCTTTTTTTATTAGTACACAAAGTCAAAATGAGGAGTCGGGGCATCACAATAACATTTTTCAGCTCTACCTTTGAATCAAAAAAAGGGTCAACCAAGTCCTTAGAGAAGAGAATATTGGACAAGAAATTGAGAGAGGTCTTGAAAGCAGCTTTGCCAATGATCACAGCTTCACCTTCTTGACTACATTTTGCAACATAATCAACCAACTGTTGTACCTTTTGTGATCTTAAGTGTTGATTTGAATCAAGTTTAGTGAGTGAGAGGATGTTGGAGTTCAAGATTCGTCGAAGGGTTCGCCACGTCGGATTAACGGGGAGCCACGTCACTGAGAATTTGGAATAGTTGTGTGCTTGAAGTGCATTAGGGATAAATCTATTGGAAAATGCTTGATCTTGATTTTGAAGGACTTGTTTTGCCATGGTTGATGAAGAAATGACAATTGTGGTTATTTGGCCAAGTTTTAAACTCATAATTGGACCATAGATTTTGGCAAGATTGGCTAGTGATATATGAGGTTTTGCACCTAATAAATGAAATAAATTTCCTATTATTGGCAGTTGTAATGGCCCTGGTGGAAGCTTTTTGTTTCTTTTTGATAGAAAAAGAAGAAAAATGCAAGCAAAAATTGATCCAAACACAAGTGTAAAGTAATCCATATTCCTCTCCTACTCACTCTCCTTCAGACTCTCTTATTAATGTAAGAGTTATGCAACTCTACTCTCTCTCACTCTCACTCTCTCTCTATCTATCTATATATATATATATGTTTTCCCGGTAATTGGGAAGTTCATTACCTAAGAAGTGGCGGAGATAGTACTTTAGTTTTATAGGATCTTGATTCTAGAAAAGGCAGTTTACTAGGTTATAGATAATTATTATAAATCTGCAAAAACTACTAAATTTTACCGAACCCTAAGCAGAACTGTAGCTTCGGCCCTCGTTGTGGCTTGCCAAACTAGCAAATTCAAACACATGACTAAATGAAGGGTCCAAACACCACAAATTTTCTGCCTACTTTTCTTTTATTTGTACGACGAATTTTCTTTGAAGCAGAAGATTTTGAATAGCTAATCAATGAGTTAACATCACCTTGCTTTTTTTTTTTCTTTTTTTTTTCTTATTGTATGTGGCATATAATTTCCAATTGTAAAATACTTATTAGTGTCTTACTTATTAATCAGTTGGGCAAGAAATTAAACAGTCAACAGTTGTGAGCCGTTGAAACTTTGCCTACGAAAGTCATTATAATTACCGGATTAATACAATATAATTTTTCAACGATAAAAGTTCAATTGAATCCCCTTTCTCTACTTAGCTCCGCCCCAGTCCACAGTTGAAAAAAAACATGTTTTACACGTGTGAGTGGGTGATCAAAGGATAGAATATAATTACACAAAACCTTAAATTTGGACGTTGCTACATTCAGGGGCGGAGATACGGTGGACGAAGCGGTGTCACGCGACATCGCTTTGATGATTTTTTTTTATTAAGCATGAGTAATTATACCGTGTCGAAACAAGTAACAAATATAAAATGACACCACTTGACATTAGGGCTGTGAGCACCTAATTTTTGACAATATTTAATTTTTTGTCACTTCTTCTATGTAAATATTTTAGGAATTTTAACCTACAATTTTTAGCTTTGTTAACTTTTTATTATAGGGTAAAAATACAAAATTTTAAAAGGTGAATTATTACTATTACTATTATTTTATTTTTTATTTTTATTTTTAAAATAATAAAAAAAATCCGAATTTTTTGTTTTTTTTTTAAAATTTTCGGGTGAGATATAAAAAATAAGAAAAGGGAAGTATGGAATAAAAAAAATAAAGTAAAAGTGGGTGGAATTCTCTTTTAAAAAGTAAAAGAAAGTGGAAAATTAAAAGTAAAGTTTTGTGAAAATTTTAAAAAAATAAAAAGTAAAGAAGGTTGGAATTAAAAAATAAATATAAAGGTAGCTGAAAATTAAAAAAAATAAAGTAAAAGAAAGTAGAATTTTTATAAGAAAAGCAAAAAAAAGTGGATTATTTTTTTAAGAAAGGTAAAATAAGCGGAATCCTCTTTTAAAAGTAAAAAAAAAGTGAGATTTTAAATAAGATAAAAGTAATTAAAGTTGGAATTTAAAAAATAAAAGTAAATAAAGGTGAGATTTCTTTTTATAAAAAAGAAAAGCAAATTGTAAGTGAGATTTCTTTTAATTAAAAAATAATAAAATATTTTTAAAAAAATAAAAACAAATCTGAAAAATTTCGAAAATTTTGCTATAAATAGAAGAGAAAATATGAGGAGAAAAGAGAGGGGTGAATTGAGAGAAACAATTTTTTTCTTCTTACGCTACGACAATTTCTACTCGTGTTATTCTTTATTCCTCTTTCTTTCGAAAATTTCCAGCAATTCAACACCCCAAAACCCAACAAAAAAATACTTCAAAACATCCCCCTTTACACGCCAAAGAGTGGTGTTAACAGTCGAGGTCGAGGATTCCGTTGGAGCTCTGTTCACCGGCTTTGATGATCATCTTTGCTTATGCTTGTTCGGCGTTCGTCTGAGTTATTGTACATATTCTTGGGGACTCATTTAATTGAAAATCTTTCATTAAAAGGTTTATTATTCCCTCTCTTTTTTTATCTTATTTTATGTGATTTTATTTATTTATCTTTAAACTTTATAAATAATAATGTAAATCAATCCTTAAATGTTATATGTTTAATCATGTTTCTGAAAATATAGTATTTAAACTTGCTAAAAGTTGGGAAGATTTGGACACTAATAAGTTTAGGCTTCAATTGTTGGGATGTATGGTATTGATATATGATAATTTATTTAATCAAATATCTAAAATCATACACTTTTTCCACAAACAATTCCATAACTTTTGGCCTTACAATAATATTAAATTACTTTAGGAAAATACTTCAAGTGCGCTAGTTTATTTAGGTGCGCTTTAAATAATTAAATATCATGACTATGTGTATGGTCTCCGTGGCATAATTGTGATATGTAACAAAATAAGTATTAGAATGCGTAACTTATTTCAAGATAACTTTTTTTTCCCCATAATTTTAATCAAACAATAAAGCGGACATAGGTAAAAGATGAGAACCAATAAAACACAAGTTATCCAAAAAATAGTATAAGCCAAATATAGTCAATAAAGAGACCGTGCTAGAACCACGGGACTCGGGGAATGCCTTACACCTTCTCCCCGGTTAACAGAATTCCTTACCGGGACTTTATTTTTGCAGATCAATAACGAAAGAGTCAAACTTTTCTTTGAATAGGGATCAAATAAAAGGTGACTTGGAACACCCAAAAATCAATTCCAAGTGGCGACTCTAAATAACAAAATAATCCATATTTCAAATTTGTCACTTTAATTGGAAAAAACTCTTTAACCCACAATCCATAACACCCATTATCTTTTGGAGGGGTAGAAAGGGGTGTGACAGCTCTGGCGACTCTGCTGGGGACCTTTTAAGAATTCGAGCTTATACATGTTGACTTTTTATTTGGCTTTATTAATTTTGTATATATTGTGATTTATCTGTGCCTAATGTGCTGCCTGTTCACTTTTTACTGCTTCGATATTGTTGAACTGTACATATAAACTGGCTTCTCACGCATCCTCTCTAAGTCTTCTTGAAATTAAAAATTGGGCATTTGCTTGACATAACCCGCTTTCTTTGAGATAGCTGAGGTGCTTGTCACCCGGTGAAGGATTTTAGTCTCACATATTTTAGGCGGGGAGCACCACCAGTTAAGCCGAAAAGCAATGCTACCGGTACACTGACCCTCCTCGGCTCGAGTTGTCCGCTCGAGTAAGCCAGTCTAGATACCTTCTCCACCAGGATTTAAACCTAGAAGAACAAACCTCATACCGGATTTCCCTAGTAGGTTCGCTCTATGTGCATCACATGCATTTGACTTAGCGAAACTCGGCACATGGGCCGGGTCCGTATAAGACAGGTATCCTATTTGAGACCATCCTGTTCACGTATGTGCTACTTGATACATCATTTGGAAGGCTTACTTGCATTGTCGATCGGCTTTAGAAAATTGACGCAGCGGAATTATTAAAAAAAAGAAAAAAGGAAAAAGATAAAAAGGAGTTTTTCTCATAGTTTAACGCAAATAACCTTTTTTTTTAAAAAAATTAGTAGTTTGGCGCGAGGTGTAAGGATTAATTTTCAATAAAAATCAAAAGAGAAAAGTACCCAGTTTCACCAAACTACGCGGGTTTGATTCTCACCGGATGTGAGATACGTAGGCAACTTCCATCGGGTTCAGCCCACATGTTTCAAAAAAAAAACCCTATTTTTGTCACCTTTTACTGTCTTGCCCTCATGCTCTAGCTGTTTTGCCAAGACAGCCTTAAATCTTCTTGTGAAGTGCTGAAGGGCCATTTTTGTAAAAGTAGTTACTTTATCCATATTTGTTCACCTTTTACCATTTACCTTTATGACTGGCCATTTTTGTCGAAGCAACTTTAAACCTTTCCAGAAGTACCGAAAGACTGTTTTTGCAAAAAGTAGTCATTTTTATCTAGCTTTGTCTGGTTATATTTGCTGAGACAGCTTTTTAACCCCTATAGGAGTAGCAAAGGGTTATTTTCGTAAAAATAGTTTTTTTTT